GTTAAATAATCATAAATTTCTCTACGAAAAAATGGTGATAAAAAAGTTTTTGTTGAACTGATTTTTCATATTCCTTCAACGTCACAAAAAATTTCAGATCTTGAGGAAAATCACCAAATTTCGTGTTAAATTAATCATAATTTCTCTACGAAAAATGGTGATAAAAAAAGTTTTGTTGAACTGATTTTTCATATATACCTTCAACGTCACAAAAATTTCAGATCTTGAGGAAAATCACCAAATTTCGTGTTAAATTAATCATAAATTTCTCTTCACGAAAAATGGCGATAAAAGTTTTTGTTGAACTGATTTTTCATATACCTTCAACGTCACAAAAAATTTCAGATCTTGAGGAAAATCCACCAAATTTCGTGTTAAATTAATCATAAATTTCTCTACGAAAAATGGTGATAAAAAGTTTTTGTTGAACTGATTTTCATATTCCTTCAACGTCACAAAAAATTTCAGATCTTGAGGAAAATCACCAAATTTCGTGTTAAATTAATCATAAATTTCTCTACGAAAAATGGTGATAAAAAAGTTTTGTTGAACTGATTTTCATATACCTTCAACGTCACAAAAATTTCAGATCTTGAGGGAAATCACCAAATTTCGTGTTAAATTAATCATAAATTCTCTACGAAAAAATGGTGATAAAAAGTTTTGTTGAACTGATTTTTCACATTCCTTCAACGTCACAAAAAATTTCAGATCTTGAGGAAAATCATCAAATTTCGTGTTAAATTAATCATAAATTTCTCTACGAAAAAATGGTGATAAAAAGTTTTTTGTTGAACTGATTTTTTTTCATATTCCTTCAACGTCACAAAAAATTTCAGATCTTGAGGAAAATCACCAAATTTCGTGTTAAATTAATCATAAATTTCTCTACGAAAAAATGGTGATAAAAAAGTTTTTGTTGAACTGATTTTTCATATACCTTCAACGTCACAAAAAATTTCAGATCTTGAGGGAAATCACCAAATTTCGTGTTAAATTAATCATAAATTTCTCTACGAAAAAATGGCGATAAAAAAGTTTTTGTTGAACTTTTGGCACAAAAACATTTCAAATTTACGGTTTCAGTCTAATAACTATTTAGTCAACATGTTATTAACAGGTTAATTTCGATTGCAGATATCTCGAGAACCATTACTCGTAGCGATATTCACCAAGAGAACTTTTTTACGTGAAAAACTTCGTAAATGTATATTTTTTTACTCAGTAGTTTTATACAGGATGGACAAAAAATTATTACTCTTCAAACCAGTTAAACGATATGTAGGTGGCGCCCTCTCCAAGTAGGAGTCTTATTGACATCAAAATCAAATTTCTCAAGTCAAAAAACTCTCAGACACCAATGTTCATCCAAATATTGACGTTACTTCATAAATTATTTTGGAAAAAATCGAAACAAAAATGAAACTTTTATACCCTGTATAGTCTGTGAAACGAATAACTTTGAATTTGACAGTTCCCGCGGGCTTTTCTAGTGTTAATTTTATTAGGTTAGCAACTTGCGGCCATGCTGATGCCGTCTCTAATAGAACAGCCCCGGAGCGAGATTTATGACGTCACGCTAGTTAGATACTACGGATTAATAAATATGTTGTAGAATGATGGAAAACATAATTATTCCTCGTATATGTAATTTTTAGGATTATATTCGACACTATTTTTTTCATATGACATAACACTGATGAAGGCTATAAACGTTAGCTATAACAAAAAATTTTAGAATAATTTTACATATAAAATGACAGCGATCTTTATTTCATAGCCATCGCTGACGCCTTTTTTTCTATGATATTGTATTATTTGCAAATATAATTTTTCGAACATTGATGCTTGCAAAATATACATATAAATTTTGTGAATGCCAAATAATAATACATCACTATTATAGTATTAGATATTGAATATTTTTGTTAAATTAGATCGATTTTCAAAAACCAAAATTTAAAATATATTTTACATATTACCCAGTATCTTATGTACCTATTCATTATTTGTATATTGTAAAGCATTTGATGCATTTGTATGGTTCATAGTTTATTTGTCAATGTATTTATTACTATAAATAGGTATATATATTGTATTTATTAACTGTATATTATGTATATTTCATGTAAACTATATCATTTTTAAAATACAAACCAAAAGTACGAGGAATAATTATGTTTTCCGTGTATTCTACAACATATTTATTATCCGTGGTATCTAACTCGCGTGACGTCATAAATCTCCTGCCCGAGGCTGTTCTATTAGAGACGGCATTGGTGTGATATTTAGAAATGTCAAAAGGCTGATGACATTTTACTTTTGTCAATTATGACATTTTGCGTTGATTTTGCAAGAAAGGAAGAACTGTCACCTGTTTTATTATTTTCCTTTTCTATTTTACGAAAGTAAAAAGAGTTACCTATCTGATTCGATCAGGCACTCATTTTAAAGAATATCAGTAACTTTTTGGATAGAGGGCTTTTATATTTGCCATGTTGGTAAAAAATAACGGTCAAAATTCAAAGTTATTCATTTTATAGACTATATCTCCGAAACTAATCATTTTAGGACGTATATTTATACGAATTTTTTACTTATTTTTATCTGCAGAATATGCTTCCGAAGTTTACGGAATACAGTTCGGACCACCCTGTATATTTCACTCAATCGACAAAATTTGACTGTAAAAACCTTTATATCGAAGGAAATTCTTTAATTCTGGCAACACTGACGTATTTGGCGAATATGGAATGTCCGGAGCCAGCTTAAGGTTTGGCAGCGCGAAGGCCAAGCGATGCTCTCTATTCGAGCATCCAAGTCGACTAATAATCTAGGTATAAAATTTACAGATTTACTAAATGTATCATAAACTAAAGATATGTCCCCGACCCCTCCTCAGATTTAGCCTGGTCCCTCTGTATTGGCAAGACCCCTCATCTGTGTTCGGGCAGACATTAAAAGGGTGCGCTCTGCTCTTGCCAAAGACCTTCTCAACCTCCAAGTATCAAATGGCTCTGTCCCACTAGGAGTATCAATCTGTATGTTTTGCTGTTGATATGTTTTACGTTTTCCTTTACTGTTTTCTGTTTTACTGTTCGTCTTTTATCTTTGCGATTATTTTCTTTTACTTTTTTGATCTATTGTTAATATGTTTTTTAATGATTCGTTACCTCCTCGTCAAAGTAGTGCAAATTTATAACAGCTTGTTTAATTAAAGCCATTAATAGCACACGCTAACTACAACACAGTTTAAATGATAATGCTAAACGCGCTATGCGCACCTCTGCTTGTTTCAAATAAACAAGAAACTAACCGTACAAACTCTACGTTTGTTTAAAGTTATGGTTTTTGTGGTGCATAGATTGGCGATCGGTGGAGACAAATTCTAAGGCGCTAAACACGTTTGATGGATCGGGCCAACATTGTCGATGCCACGCCATCTCTACGCCTTTCGCCAGGTAACCATGCACACTTTTAAACCAATAAAAAACGCCTCTAAAACGCAACTTAAGTCATTAATAACCGAACTAGCCGTTACTTGGTGGAACATCACATTCGGACTGACCGCATATTACATTTACCATTTTTCTCAAAACTATCACTGCGTTTAAAAACTATTCTTCAAATTAACCTTAACAGAAACTGAGTAGAATATTTGGTCATGGAACACGTAAATTGGAAAATATAAAACTTACTACATAATCTTGTCAGATTACGATAGTCAGTTCTTTAATTCTCGAGATAACAATTCTTTCTCTTTGAAGAAGCGTAGTGACAATTTTCGAGATCTTGTGAATGTTTTACGAAGTCAGTTCGTCTATCACTCCACGACGACGTTTCATACATCAATAGATGCTTCGCAGTTTCCTCTGATCTTGCTCTATAGCTTTTTGTCCCACATCTCAAAAACCCGATGATAAAAACCAAAATAAACCATCTAATTGCAAACTATTAATAATCAAGCCATAGAGAGCGTAAAACGGAATCAGTGCGACAGTGTTGGGACCCCGAAAACGATCATTGAGAGAATAAAACACGGAATGGACGGTCTCCACGCTGTCGTGTCACCTCGGCCTTAGAGTTTTGTGAACATTTTGGAGGAGGATACGATCGTAGTTCATCTGCAGATTATCTAAGATTAACGATAGCCGACTGTAATCAATAAACTAACCTTTTCTTTCCTCTTGATTAATTGAATATACTCGGCAATTCCGTTTCTTTATTCCAAACCCACCACGGTCAGACTAAGCTAAGGGATTACTTCAACATTTCAGTTTTACGATTTCTAATACGCCCAAGACATTCACAACTTCAGTCAATATTTTCGTTTAAATTCGGAATAATATTAAAGTATTCTTATTTTTTTTTAAATAAAAATAAAATCAGCGTATATTCAAATTAATCAATAAAACTTTTTCGTATTTACAGTGCCTCAAAAACAAAATGTTGTTATTTCAAAAATGCATTAAAAGCAACACAATAATAAAAAGCATTTTATTTAAATAACGTATACACATTCATTTTAAATTATATGATGTGATGAATTATAACTAGGTCATCAGAACATAAAAAATTATGTAAAACTAAATAATAGCGTTCTGATGCACTGTAACTAAGAAGTTTTTTATCGTGTTACTATTTAATAACGTTAATCTGGGATAATCTAAAATAGGAATTAATTATGAATAATGCCTGCGTGGAAGAACAAGTAGCAATGTGTCTTGTACATAACTTTGTTAAACTTAAAATGTGTGAATGCGTGTACATTTTAACAGACCTTAAGAGTGAGTTTTGCTGGACTGAGTATAGATTAACCGTTTTTGTTTTCATTATTTTTATTTAATTATATTCAACCTGATTATGTTTATCTTTTAGTAGTTCATTGTTAACTGTGTAATTTAGTCGATTACTTGATTAAGTAGATGTTTATTATTTGAGGAAAAAATCGTTAGAACCGGTACTTTTCTGATTAAGTCGTAATTAAGATGATTTTACAGGTACCTACTTCAACTGCATCATGTTCATGGTTGCCTCCTCTGTGGTTTTGACCGTGGTAGTTCTCAATTACCACCACCGTACAGCTGATATTCATGAAATGCCGCAGTGGGTAAGTCTTCTTTAGATCTTTGATTTTAACTCTGTAACAAAAAGAAAGAATACAAATTAAAAATAATTGGTGATATATTTTTTCAAAAGGGTAGAAACTTTTAGGGTACGATATGATAATAATAAAAATTCTTTAAGTTGGATACTCATTACTACAGCTTATTAAATATGAAAGACGTTTGGCTGTTTTGAAAACCTTTAAAAAATGTATAAACGTTCAGACTTTTATGGATATTTGTTTTTTGAAAGATGTCAATTATGCTTTGAAGTCAGCATTTTCGCGTCAAATTATTTTTGATATTCCATTTAGTAAATTATACAGTATGTCTCCGGATTGTCTTTACAAGAGGAAAAACTTTTTTATTATTGACATTTAGAGGAAAAGTTTGTTTAGGTTGAATTTTTCCTGAAAATAAAAAGGCGTTTCTATGGTAATATAATTTCCATTTCATTCTTGAATAGATGGTTCTTATTAATTTTGATTAACGTGATATTTTCAGCTGTTGTTAAACTATCACATTTTTCGATAACTATTACCACTCTTTCTTTAACATTTTAAAACAGCCAAAAATTTGACGTTAATTAAAATTCTATCAATAACAACACACGATTTGATCTATCAAAGTATGAAATCAGAATGATATTACCATAGAACCGCCTTTTGATTTTTAGGACTTCAACTACATTTTGGAAATTTTGGGTTAACAATTTTAGAAGCAGCAAAATTTTAATTTTTTTATGAAGAATGCATTTTTCTCAAATTATTATCAATAATAAAAAAGTTTTTCTATCCGGGGTCATACTGTAAGTAAACTTATATATTTTTTTATTTCTGTAAATAGATAATATAGTAAATCTTCATTAGTGATGTTTAATGACATTAAATTTTCTACATTAATAAAATATATCGCGCTGATAAATTATATATTTGATTTGAGTATATTCATACAGTCATATAAATAATTTATTAATTTAGCAAAATCGTAAATTATTCGGTTATAACAGAGCATTTAAATGTTTCCTGCAAATAAATAGCGCACGCACAATTTAATGAGCATAAAAAAGATAAATTACATTTGAATTTGATTGTTGTTTCTATAATTTTAGTTTAACAATACCGGGTGCGTCTCAAAAGTGGCTCATCGCTATAACTTTTTTATTGTTTCAGATAAAACGAGATTTGGTATTTTAGTACATGACATAAATTAGGATTAATTGACGTATTCAATTGTTTTTGGTCACTTTCTGTTTCACCGGAAATGACTACAACTTTTGATTCTTTTGAAATGACACCCTTGGTATTTTTTTTACTTTATTCGATAGAAATTTACACTCTGAATACAATGACATATTATAAGTCAAGTTTTGACATATTTGCATATGGTTTGTTTGAAATTGTAACATGTGGTTTGTAACATTTTCAAGCAAAAATATGTCATTTTATTCAGAGTGTCATTTTTTATCGAATAAAGTAGAAATATACCGAAGGTGCCATTTAAAAATCAAAAGTTATAGTCATTTCAGGTGAAACAGGAAGTGACAAAAACAATTGAATACGTCAATCAATCCTAATTTTTTCATATACTAACATACCAAATCTTGATTTTCTATCTAAAGAAATACAAAACTGAGCCACTTTTGAGACGGACCCGGTATTTAGATTATATCGTATTTTGTAGATTTTAAAAAACTCGAAAAAAAAATGTGGCACTAAAAGTTTTGTAACCCTAATTTTGTTAAACTGAAACATGGATTCTATGAACAATATCCAGATTATTTAATAATGTTTAAAAAACAGATTTAAGTTAATTTGATTTTGTATCTCTTTTTGCGGGAAAATCTGGAAAATTTTCCATGACAGGCGTTCTTTTCCAGATTAAAACAGTCTTCCTCCAATGGTTGCCCTGGATGCTGGGCATGAGCAGGCCCGGAAAGAAGATAACCCGCAAAACGATCATGATGAACAGTCGAATGAAAGAGCTGGAATTGAAGGAGCGCTCCTCGAAAAGCCTGCTGGCCAACGTGCTGGACATCGACGACGACATACGGAATGTGTCCGGCGTGGCGGGCAACAGCTCGACGATGACCACCAGCCTGGGACCCGGTTTCGGCCGCAACGCCACAACGATCGAGGACGCTGCCATACCGGGCACCAGCACCGGCCAGAGGGACCTGCAGCTCATCCTCAAGGAGCTGCAGTTCATCACGAACCGCATGAAGAAGGCGGACGAGGAGGCGGAGGTGATCAGCGACTGGAAGTTTGCCGCCATGGTGGTGGATCGGTTCTGCCTCATTATCTTCACCCTGTTCACCATCATCGCCACTGTGGCAGTGCTCCTGTCCGCACCTCACATCATCGTTCAGTAAAAACGTGCGGAGAAACGGACTTGAACGCGACAGACTCTGATCTAGGAATGGCAACGTCGAAACGTACCTCAAACGTCTTATTTCACAAATTTCACCGTCTCCGGATATAATGCTACCTACATCAATAACACCCACCCAGCCAAACAAGAAAACAGTATCAAACAATGTTGGATTTTTAATTTTATCCGTATCTATGAAACAATACCTATGCTGAACCCCAAGTAGCATTTTTAGACACAAAATCGAAACAAAATCTCTGCTAACAAACATTACGAAACACATTTTTTACATAAGCTATAACAATAAAGATCTTAGTATCACAAATTTTTCGAAACTTTCAAGAAACAGACCTGGCTCACATTTACAGATTTCGTACCCGTTTTGTGCCCGAAAAGTTTCCATAATTTATTTGATATTCTGCCAAATATGAGAACATAACATTATTGTTTTGATTTTGTTCTGCAGTTTCTGCATTTAAGCATTCTTCAAGTTTTTATAGTACTGTAATTAACAAAGCAGAAGGACATATATGGTGAGTACAAATACAGATATATTTTTCTTATGTAGATGATTCGTGTCCGACTCCATGTCAATTTTATAAAATAATGAATTAAAATCCCGCCATGTTGGCTAGTGATAGCGTTTTTATCTAAAAATATATGTTTTTATCGGCTGTTGAACTTCTAAACTTATAAGAACGTGTTCTACTTACATTGTTTATATATAATGTGTTCTTTTTTTATAAATTGGATTAGGATCGAAAGAAATCAACAGAAGTCCTTTGTTTTAAATTTGTCGAAAAACAAAGGACTTCTGTTGATTTCTTTCGATCCTAATCCAATTTATAAAAAAAGAACACATTATATATTATTGGATCGACAACAATAAAAATTATATTGTTTATATATTTTTATTTTTAGAACCATGATATAAAAATAAAAATCTATATTTCAAACAAAAATATTTTGTAGCAACAAATAATGATATATAGAAGGGACATTAAAAATATGAAGGTACATTATTAAATTAAACGATGAGTCTGCTTTTGCCAGACATTTTTTGTGCGAGAACACCTAAAAATAAAAATTATGGCGGAGGTCGACATTTTTGATGATTGTTTTCATTTTGAAATCCACACAAAAAGACTATTTTAGTTTGGTATTTTGTTTCTTCAGATTTAAAAACAGTGGTTGCTGAAAACGGGAACATTTTGGAAACAAATTGCAGAAAATGTTTCGAAACATTTCCTCTAAAACTTTTGTTTCCGCATCGAAACATTTCAGGAAACTGCTAGTGCCACCATATTGGAAAAACATGTAATAAAGCCATATCAAAAATATAGGTTTCGAAAATGTTTCCTATTTGTGGTATATCGTTTCTATTTTGTGTCAAGAAACAGAGACACAATTATCAGAAACATTACCAAAAATGTGTCCAAAAAGGCTACTTGGGACGCAGCGATTTATGAATGAATTGAATTTATTTTGGTGTTCTGGATGCATTATATCGGTAACAGGAGATTGGTAAGTTTGTGAAATGTGCCATCCCTATTGTGAACTTTACTGTGATAGACAGCGCATCGTGTCGGCAGTTACGGCACAGATAATGTGCAAAACGTGCCTTCCCTGCGTGGAACATTCACGAGCTAGCACCATGTAAAAGGCAGGCACTGTGCACATGTGCACCCTAACTAGCACAAACTGTCTTACAATCTTTTACACAACAACTATCAAACTATTGCACAACCACGACCAGAGCACTATTTTTTAAAACACCGACGAAATGTTTGTAAAACTTTTTATGAATAAAAAAATAAGTCATTAAGTAATTATTAAATAATTTTTAGGAATTTCGTAACTGTGAATCGCAGAAAATAAGTTTTATTGGTGTTTTAAAAAATAACTTTATAAAAACATCGTATACATATTATATCCTAAACTTTTCTATATGAATTTTTGAATAATTCTTTGCAGTTTTATAATACTTTTATAAAGGGTTGTAAGGGTGTTTGCGCGAGTTGGTACTTCATCATAAGGCGCTGCATATAACTGCGCAAGTCACACAGACAGTGTCCACAACTTGCTATGTTAACAATGTAACAAATATTTGTCGGCAAAATGAAAGAGAAAAGATCGTATATAGTTAGTTGGTAGAGTATCATTAGTTCGAGGTACACACGTGTCTGCCTTTTGTTCGCCCATTGATAGAAAAAAAATAAAGGTGTTAACCTGTATAAAACCTAATGTGATGAACTTCGCAAATTAACTATTAAACTTAAATCTGAGTTGATAGAATAAATAGATGTAAAGTAAACGTGATGTGAATACGGATTCTGATCCCGGACTATTTTACACATTAATATTTTTCGGCATGCGAAAATTGCACTTGTTGACTAACATATTTAGCCACATGAAATTAGAATGCTGACTCTCCTGGATTAAACAAAACCTAACGTTCTCGAAAGAAACTTCCAAGCAGGGTTGGCAAAAATCATGATTTTTTTTTTATTTAAATCAAATTTTATTATTCTTATAGAAAACATTATTTAAATCGGATTTTCAAATAATTAGATACTGCTGATACCGATAACATTAACAATTCAGCGGCGCGTCTATTCCACATCTGTCACCAATATATTCCGCAAAAATGTCGCTCATTTCAGATCAAAAGGATTTGTTTTTTCAAACGTCACAAACGTATTTTTACATAAAGCTGTTTCAAAAAAGATATAAAAGAGCATATTTTCTGACGACGATTATAGATTCTCAGGAATGAAGATATAGTCCAACATCAGAAGGGGGATCAAATTCTAGTTCTGCACTAAAGTTTGCGAATGAAATGTATTCGAACAGCGGATTTTTGTCACTTGTACATAAATTTCAAAATAAATCCCTGCCGTTTAGATGTCTAAAGGATTCACACGAAATTACTTCAAAAATCGGTCCAACATTTTAATTGATGAATAGATATGAAGTAGTTATATGTGTTCATATACACATTTTTTATATAGTTTTATAACATTTACGATTTTTTTCGATTCATTAAAAGTATTTAAACGTTACCATAGCTTATTTGATGGATAGATATAGGGTATATCTGTTATAGAAATATTTTTTATAGTTTTCTAGGACACATTTTTATAACTTTAACAGTTATTTTTCGATTTATTATAAAGTTTTAAAATAAAGCTGATTTTTTTATTTAAACCACACGATTAAAATTAAAAAAATCACTTGATTTAAATCATGCCAACCCTGCTTGCAATTAGAATACTCTGTGTAAAAATTCTCGTCTTTTTTCTATTTAGCAAATTGCACAAATAGTTTTAGTATTTTCTACTTTTAGAAAAATGCACCTTTCAGGGTCCAGGGTTATCTTAATTCCATATATTACGATACTCAATTTATCTTACACGGGTAATTTTTTCTACTGTGTATAAACTATATCTCATATATTTTTTGGTCAGTTGTTGTTTTTATATAAAATTCTATACGTGAAAAGATTTTTACCCAACTAGCAATAAACTGAGCTTTGATTGTTTGCAGAAACTAAAGTGATTTGAATTATTGTTTTCTAGAAGAAATATTAAAAAAATTATATGCAGGTCATAAAAAGATTTTTAGACTTCGAAGAATCAAGAATGGAAGACTAGTTTCCTAAACATGCGATTTAATCTTTAGTTAGAACTTGCATTTAGATGACTTTGATTTATTAAAAGTTTTATTACCAAGATTCATTTCATGCCATTAGTGAGGTCATTAAAGTAATAGTTTCAATTAAAGGTCCTTTTGTTCTATTTAAAAATGTTATGGCTTTATTTGTCCAACGTTTGCTCGCTATATACAGTGATTTGTTATTTTTTGAGCTACTAAATCTATACTATAACTTCTATCCAGTTATTCGGATGCTGATAGGAAGAAACAGGTCAATATTCCGTTGTATTGTTTATATAATGATATCATATCAAATAATATTATGTGACACGCTGTCATATTTTCTTACGAATTTATAAAGTTTTCTAATTAATAATTGTTTTTCTTTAAGAAGTACAATCCCTAATGACAATAACATCATTTTTAGATAGGAGAACCCCAGATAGTAATATAACTTACTTTGTAGCCCTTCTGTTTAGTAGCGCAAGTAATAATGAATTTAATAATACTGTATATTATTATTTCTCGGCAATTTTAGCAACTTTAGAACATAACTAAAATATATATATCAACAAAAAAAAAAAGAAAAAAAATGGAAGTAGGCCCAAAACAAGACGTTGTTAATATAAATAAATATATATTTTTTGAAACGAATTTATTGACCAAGACTTTTTTATAAATTATTTTGATATAATCTCCTTGCTATTCCAAGGGTGATTACCAGACTTCGGTGGGTAGATCGTAGGTGAATTCTAATATTTTTCCATGTATAAATATTCGTTTTGCGGAAAACTAGCGGTATTAGGTGTGTAAAATCGTCCGGAGATGAAATAGACAAACAGCTAAAGACCGTTTTACTTATCGCATTTCAATAAGAAAAAAGTTTTAAGGCAAGACTCTTTTAAACCTATTAAGAAAGATGATCTTCTCTAAAGCCTTACTTCAATTTTTTGGATACTCTAAAGAAAACGGTGTCTAGTTACGTCCGAAACGTTGTTTTTTATATTCGAGATTAGCGACCAGGTACTGTGCAACTCTGGAAAACGGTATCGGAGCTCCCATTTGGTCCCCAGACCAATCCTTAAGGCCCCCCATGCCTTAACGCTGATAAATTCCAATCGCCCGACTCGAAAAAGGGGCAAAAAAGTGTTTGGGGATGGTGGCCGATCGGGTGGAAGCATCGTGTCCCGCTTCCGACGGCCTGGGGACAAAATAGGACTCCCAATCCAGGCTCCCAATCCAGAGTTGCTATCGGCAGGTCGCGCTCCCGTGTTTTCGGAACGCTGCTCCACGTATGAGGCTGAGTTTTTTATTTAATCTCTCCTTTTCTCGGTTCTTTCGGGGTTCACTTTGAATAACTTAGATGCGGACTGTGTATCGGATGTCCTAGTCACAGCATATTACTTTAAATACAGGGTGGTCCGAACTGTATTCCGGAAATTTCGCAGCATATTCTGCAGATGGAAATAAGAAAAAAAGTTCGTATAAATGTATGCCCTAAAAAGCTTAGTTTCGGAGATACAGGGTGTAGAAGTTTCATTTTTATTTCGATTTTTTCTAAATAATTTCTGAAACACCGTCAATATTTGGATGAAAATTGGTGTCTGGAAGTTTTTTGACATGAGAAATCTGATTTTGATGTCAATACGACTCCTACTTATAGGGGGCGCCACCTACATGTGTTTTAACTGTTTTTAAGAGTAATAACTTTTCGTCCGTACCTGTATAAAACTACTAAGTGAACAAATATAATAAATTATATAATAATTATAAAAACTCCCAGATACCAATTTTCACCCAGATATTGACGTTACTTCATAAATTATTTGGAAAAAATCGAAATAAAAATGGAACAAAACGAAACTAAGCATTTTAGAACATGAATATTTTTACTTACTTTTATCTGCAGAACATGCTGCCGAAGATTCTGGATTACAGTTCGGACCACCCTGTACCTCAGTCAAAAAAAAATCAAGAGATGGCTCCTTTTTTGAAAAATAAGGGTGGATTTTTCATGTAGAGTCTTTGAATTTGCGGTATCCCTTGAAAGTTTTATAAATTAAGTTCCTTGTATTATTTAATCGGGTAACATGGTATA